TTTTTTTATGTCAAGTATTTTGTACCCTGTAGACAACCATTAAGACTCGCTGAGGTGGTGAATAATTTAATTTATGATTAATAACATTATTTAAGCATAACAAAGGCAGCACCATACTTCAGCAGATAACATGTGCCTTTAATGCAGCATCAACAAAGAAGATACAGGCATAAGCAATTTTGAGGGGTTTGTTTAGTTTTTCTTTTTTTATATAAGAAACCTTTGAAAGGTTAGATTTTATTAGAACTGATGACTTAACAAGGTTTTGTAGGAGACACACTTGCTATCTCTGCGATAACATTTTCTTAGAGAAACAGAGAAAATCAATTTTAGTGATGTTGTGATAAGCTGTTTAATTAATGTGGGTTTAAAAGTCAATAAATTTAAATAATTTATAGCTCATCTACTGTAGGTACCGGGCCTGTAAAGGTATTTTGTGGGAAGTGTCTCCTCCAAATAGTATTGGAGGTCAGGTGAGGTGTTCTACAGCTGTCCCAAAGTAAACTGAGCTGTGGTTTGGGTGTTGGGGTTATGGCAGACAAATAAAAGAAGACTGAGCTTGTACTGTGGAATGCAATTTTGTCTGGTGACTTTATGCACCTAATTTTGCATTTCAGATCTCAAATGCTTCAGTCATGGTTTTAAAGGCTTTTATGGTGAGCAGATCATTCCTCAGGTAGAACTGCAGTGAGCATTGGAATAAAAGCACTGCTCACCATCTGAAGGCTGTTGCTTCCTGGTTTTTATGAGGCAAGATAACTGGAGTAGGTTACAAGTTTATCTTATAATTTCTGTACACACACTAAAAAAATTTTAGAATTCTCAAACAAAGTGCATTTAAGCTCAGAATGAATATTAACTTCAAAAATTGGGTTCAGATTACCAAATTGCTTTCTAACTGTAAGCCTCTCCATCCTTTATTTCATCCATACAGTATTTTAAAACACTGCATCTTAATTCATTATCCACTAGGTTAAAGGCTGAAATCTGCATTAGACAGAAAGAAGCTAAGTTGGAGGTGATGTCTTTTCTTCTCTCCACACCCAGTCTGACAAAGGCTGAACTTTGTAACAAGTGGGAAGATCAAGACAGTTGTTTTCTGACTGTACCGGTAGTGCTGGGTCATGGTGTTCAGAGGACGTGCCCAGTGCAACAATCCAGCTTTGTGTGTTTTCCTGCAGAAAGATGTGCCAGTGCTGGGGGCTCTCTTGGAGCATCTACCACACCAAAGATGGCCATTTACAGGCAGTCCGTTCTGGTTGAGTTCCTTGCCAGACTCCAAGGAAGGAACCATTTGCTCTCCTTACGTGTCTTCATATTCAGGGAACCTGGAAATCAACAAAATGTAACCCTGAGATCTGGGTTAATATTGACTCTGAACTGTGATTTTTTTAGGCTTTTTTTAATTTTTACTTCAAAGAGGAAGATCTTTGGAAATGCCTCCTGTGGCCTGAGTTGTTTTTTTTTCTAGGTGTGTATACAAATTTTTCCCTGCTTTCTGCCTGTCAGAAAGCTAAAAGATCTCATGGTACATATTCTTATACTTTTTAAAAAATACCATCTTTGGATTCTGATTTTATAGATTTTCTTTGGTTTTTTTGGTAAGGAGTTGTCTTCCCACTGCCCTTCAGAAAGGGCAGTTGTGTTACAGAAATCCCAGATGGTAAGAGAGAGGGAGAAGTCCTCAGACCTAGTAAAGACTTCCCTTGTAACTCTGACAGCTTTCCAAAATGCAAAGAGGTTGGTGAGGTTCTTTAACAGGAACAATGGTTTTGTAGAAATGAGAAGACTGTTCATTTTCATTCAGAAGTGTTAGGAAAGATTCTCAGACATACAGAGTAACACTTTTTCTACAGATTCCATTGCCACTTCAGGTGCCTTTTCTCCTAGTTTTTTTTTTTATCCCATATTGTCTTTCAGATTCGCATTTTTTCCTCCCCACAAAACCGTGTTCTATAGTATTGGCTTTCATTTAAAAAACAGAAGAGTGCAACATCCTCTCCTGAAAAAAATAAAAAAACAATCCACACACTAGAGCTCTTCACTTGGGAAAAACAGAGAGCACGGAGAGGAAAAGCTCCTTTGAAGTTTGCTGGCTGAGCTGACAGGGCACCTGAACCCAGACCTTCCTGAGCAGTGAGCTGCTGGTCTGTCAGTGTGCTCTGAGCCACGCTGGACCTGGGGGGGTTGTCCAAGGTGCCGTTATTTTGGGTGTCTGTTATTTTGCTGCAGCCGGTGCTGACATTTTGGCTGTTTGTTGAAATTCATGGCAGGAGGACAAGTCTGTCAAAGGGCAGACCCCTCGGGCACTGAAGAACCAAAAATACAAATTGATGAAACAGGTTGTTTAAAACCACAGCATTTAAAATTCAAAGAGATAAGACAAGAAATCCTACTGTGCTGGTAGTTCCCAGGGGGAAGCAGGTCAGCCAGGGCAGAGGAGAGGGGTGGGAGCAGAGGCAGGTTCTGAAGGAGGAGGCAGAGGGTGGTCATTTCAAGCTGGAAGGTTGTTTCTTAGCATGGTCGTGTGTGTTTGGGTTCTAAAAATAGAAGGAAAAAAGAACTTCTTCATGTTGTTGAGAGTTTAAAAGTTTATTTCATTGGTTAATTTTTTAATAGAGACTCTAAAGTTACTTCTGTGACAAACATTTTGTTAAGAGTCTATATTTACACTTAATGTAACATCTGTAGGACTAAAACACTGTGTAATGCTTAAAAATCATATTAAGCACAACTTGCTTTTTCTACACTGAAATTGTGTCACTCAGAAAGAGTTGAAATCTTACACATTTTTTGGCACATATGGTGGGTAGACTTAGACTTCATATTAATCCAGATTCCACAGCCTGACATGTATTATCCCAGTTAGGGATCTTTCACAACTGTTGGTGCAAATTTAACCTTTAAAAGCTTAGTCAAACCACAGTTGTGGTTATTTGTTATATAGGAATTTATTGTGCCTGTAAAGAAAAAAATGGACAAACTGTTTTCTGCTTTGTCACTTTTTATTCTACTCAGATGCAGTGTGGGCCAAATAATTTGAAATCATCCTTTCACTTAAAAATTGCTCAATAATTGAAACTAAATGGTTCCGGTATTAGAAGGTATCTCTGTCTTTATACTGTGGATTAGTAAACAGCCACTGTAATTCTAATTGAATATTTTGTACTACTTTCTCCTGTCCTTGTGTTCAAGTAGACAAAAATAATTTTAACATGTAAATCTGTTCAGTGTTTTCTGATTAAAGCATTGTTTGACACTGCTCTATGGAGTTTAGGACAGACCTCTGGAGTATTGTAGCTCTAGCACCAGAGATTGTCGGTCCTCAAACACCGTTCTGTGCTGCTGAACCGAGGCAGTTCTGTTGATATTGGCAGGTAATTAGTGCTCCAGGGGCAGACCCTGGAGCTCAGATGAAAGCTGAGAATGCTGCATCTTCACTGGAATGTGGTTCCGAGGTGTTCTTTTAGACCAGAGTGGTGTTCCCTGGACAGAAGGCTCATGCTGTGCACGTGTTCAGAGCTGTGTGGAATGGCCCTTGTTGGTTTGGACTCTTGAGGGCTCAGCTGCATCAGGAGTTGGAGCACTCCTGGATCCACAGTTGGATCACAGCTTGCAGTTCGTTTTCCTCAGAAAGAGGTATAATTTGCAGGCCCTGGTACTGGTTGGTAAATCAGACTAGTTATGTGGGAACAATCAAGGAATGTGTCTCAAAACTGTGGTGTTGTTTCACACTGAACTGTTAATGTAAATATACAGTGTAAATGCAGCTCTAATACAGGTTTTGTTACCTGGAGAAATACTTTCCACAGACTGAAGGAAGGGGTGTTTGCACACACTTTGCAACTACTCTGTGTGAAGGTGTGTAAATGTTACTTGTTTGTAGTTTCTTCTTTCTTGCTGTAGAATTTCCTTAGTATAAATGACTCACAGGAAGGTATCTTCTGCACAAGACATGAATGTGTATATATGTTTTTCCCTTCCCCACCACTTCTCCGTCCCTTTCTGTGTTTTGCTAAAAATAAGTGAGAATAAAGGGCTGGGTTTGGATGAAGCTGGGATTTTGGTTACTAGAAGGTGAGGAAGATGGTGATCTATTTGTTTTATATGCTAAGGGCAGATTTGTGCTTGGAGGAGTTTCTTGGTGTGAATCTTGTGTGTGTGTGTGTGTACACATATATGTGATCCATCTGGATTTGCAGTGTGGAACACTGCTCTTTGTGTGATAATGAGGCATTAGTCATCCCTTTATTTAAAACTTTTTTGTTTGCATCTCTGTGTTCAAAGCTTCCCACATAAAGCACAACACTGTGCCCATTTGCTCTGTGATGACACGTCGCCCTCAAGCTGCTTGTTGAACAACAGTAGCTAAAGGTCATGTGTGTATGCACTGTTTCATAAGGATTTGACTGGATTTTCATATCACAACAATTCTCAATATTTACCTAGTATTTATAGGGCTCTGTATGGCTGAGGTGTTTCTCTGGAGCAGATGAGGTAATTAGGAACAGTTATGGCATGACCAGATGTCAGCCCCAGCTGATGGGTGCTTCTGTGCATTGGCTTTTGTGCTAGATCTTAGTCTTTAGTTTTCCCTCAAATAATACATTTTTTCCACTTTTTTTCTAGAAGTTTGAGAGAGAAGATTTTAGATTAATTGTTTGTATATTCAAGAATGTCATATACTCTTTAGCTGGTCCACTAAATGGAAAAAACCCCAAACATTTCTGTTTGACTAAAGTAGCAAGTATAGGCTGTAATTTGGTAAAGAGGTTGGCCTATCTTTTGATTAATTTATTATGAGTGAAAAATCAATGTAACAGGATGAAAGTATTCTTATGACTACCTCAGTGAGCAGTATGATTTCACCACTGAAGGATATCTCACAGCCAAATTGGAAATCCTCAATACCACTCTTTTGTCGCTTTGCAGGGTACAACCATGTACTGCTTTATTTTGTTTGTCGCAAAAGTGACTTACTTTGTGGTTTTTTTTTTCAGCAAACAAGAGCATGACTCTTCAGATGAAACAATAAAATGCAGTAGAAATCCAACTAAAACAGTTGCATCTGCTGAAAAGAATGAAGAAGACGCATCACTGTCAAATACAGAAGATGTTCCTAGTTTTGAACTCCCTGCCAACAGCTCAAAGAAGTCTTTGCATGAGAAAAGAGCATGTTGTGCTTCAGATGACAATAACAAACAGTTAGATGAGAAACAAAAAGGTATTCATGATGGAAGTGAGTTGAAAAGGTGCCAAAGTTCAGGTGATGTTCTCCTGGATGAGCAGACTGAAGTGCGGAGCTTGGATGAAAGTACCCTGTCAGCGATGAACGTGAGGGACCTGAAGCTGACCCTGGGGGAGGATGTGAGTTTTGAGCAGTTCTTCAGGAAGAGAGATGAACCTGAGTCTGTCAGTTCTGACATCAGTGAACAGGGCAGTATTCATTTGGAGCCTTTGACTCCATCAGAAGTACTAGAGCATGAAGCTACTGAGATCCTTCAGAAAGGTAATGTCACACCTTCGTCAAAGAAAGCGGGACAGCTCACGGAACAGACAGATGAGGTTTCTAAGGAAAGCAATCCCAACAGAATGGAGACAGCTGCAAACCAGACAGATGAAAATGAAGCAAGATGAAATTGTGTCTTTATTGTTACAAACGGTGGTAGGAACACCATGGACCATTCCTGATGAGTGTGCTTATGGATGCTAAATATTAAAAAAAGGGGGGAGGGGGGAGAGGGAGGCGAGAGAGACACCAAAGGGAAGTTTTGCATATGGAGATAGCATGTATGTGTATGTGTGAATTAACTGAACTTACAGAAGGTAACATGTTCGAGTATACCTTCCTGTCTCTTGGATGTGATATATTATTAGATTGATATTTGAAAAGAGGTATAAATTCTAATTTTTTTATAGTTAACTGGCCCAGGATAAGGTGATTTGTTCGCCCAGAAAGTATTTTTTTAAATCCTTCAGTGTGAATACCATTGAACAGTAGAATTGAGTATGAACTGACTTCTGATGCTGAAGTGGAGCACACTTGTAATCAGGGCTGTTGGTCTGCTGATAATTTGGGTAAACATAAACATTGGGACTTGGTGTCACATTCCTGTCTGTAAAAGCATGTAAACGGAATTATATGAATCTGTGCACATCTGTACAGGTATAATCCTGCCAGGCTGTAAGCTTACCTTAATAAACTTTCAGTGAAAGTGGAATTATTACAATAAAAATATATATTTGTGGGGTTTTCACTGTGCAGGCTGTGCAGAAATACCGAACATAGTTGTATAAAGTAGAACATAATGCTGGAAGTACTGTAGCTGTTAGGCTTTTATCATTGGTTTTATGATTCTTAGCCATAGACACATAGGAATGGTCTGTAAGTCACACCAAAGTATGGTTTTAATGTAAAAATGGTATTAAGCAAAAATAAGGAAACCCCCAAACTGGAAACACCCCCTGGTGTGTGTTCCACCATTTTACAGCTGCTACTGACTAATTTACAGATAGGACACAAGGGCATAGAAGGTAGAATTGTACAGTTCAATTTCAGGACTTTTTGTAGTCTAAGTTATGTACAGAAAGATGGCTGCTGGTTTTGATTTTTTTGAGATTTTTTTTTTTTCCTTTGGTTTTGGATATTATTTTTTTTTGTCTTCTAGTTAGCAGCAGGTATAGGAATGCATCTGATTAACGGTAGCTTGCTCTTAGGATTTCGTTGCTCCATTGGAAACATTCAGAATGTGCTTTTGACTTACAGTTTTGTTTCTATGGATGCTAAATGTTTTGGACAACTGTTAAAGCACTGCTGTAAATTATTACTTTTCGAGTAAATATTTGCAACAAAAATTTGTCTTTGTGCATAATTTTATGCTCAGCTTGAAACTTTGACCATAGTTCTCCTCCTGTTTTTAATAAAGGTTTAGTGGCAGTTCCCCAAAAAATATGTAACTTCAATATTGTGAATTTGAGGCATATGTTTGGTTGGGGGTTTTTTGTTGGTTCTTGTTTTGTTTATATAGAATTAAATGAGCAAGTGCCTTTGCATAAACATATTTTTGTACCTGTGTATTGTGGTATGATGTGTTAACCTTTACAGACTACCTCGATATTTTCAGGCCCATCTGCTTGCAGCTGAAGTCCACTGTGTCCTCCTGAGTTAATTGGGCTCTGCTGCTAAATTAACATTTAGAGACCATCCAGCTCATTGTTGGAGCCTTTAAAGAAGATCAGTCTCAACATCTCAAAGTTGCCTCAAACTCTAAGGAGTCCTATGATTTAAATTTTGAATTGCATCTTAATTTTCATCCATGCAGGTGTAGAAGACTAATGAGGAGTGGAACAGTTTACAAAGTCACAGCTTTTCAAGATCTGCCGCTTCAGGAACTTCAAATACCAAGATAGGGGAAATGACTGAGAGCAATAAGTTGCATTGTTCTTTTGTTCTTTAAAGATCTTGCTGAAGTTATTAAGTAATAGTTAGATGAAGCAGTCTGATGTCTTCATGCTTTTACACATGGAAGATTAGTCATTGTGGTGCTTTATTTTATACAGTTTAAAACACTTGATCAGCTACAGACCTGGATGTGTTTGTTACCAAAGCATCTCTGCTTAAACCCAGGGAAATCTCTGTAGTGTTTTGAATCTGATTGATGATCTTCCATTCAAATTATCTATTTTGAATAATGCTCTCATTTGCGTTTTGGAAACGATTGAGTTCGACTGGAACTAGTTGTACAGTACTTGCTTGTAAATTCCTCACATTCATCTTCTATTATGCAATTACATTTTTAAAACATTTACCATTTTAATAGTAAGACTTGGGAAGGATTTGGCCTCATGCTGCTGAGAAAAGTTGGAAAATAAAACTCAGGTCTGCATATTTGGGGGAAGTACATCCATACCATCTCAGTTACGTAGTATGTAAGTCATTGTTGGTTTCAAACCTTGAGAATGCTTGTGCTAAAGGTAATGGTAGGTACAAACCACTCAAATGTCTACTGGTCCTTGTGAAGGAGGAGGTGAAAGAGAACTAGATGGTTCCTGCAAGTGCATCAGCTTTAATAAAGCAGGGAAAGTATATCATGAGAACACTGGCGTGGTATTATTGTGAAGGAGAAAAACTAACATTTCTGACTGTTTATGCTATATGAAGATTTCTGCCAGCCAGGCAGAAAGGGACCTTGGAGTTTGGATTGACAAGAGGCTGAACATGAGCCAGTGTGCCCAGGTGGCCAAGAAGGTCAATGGCATCCTGACCTGGCTCAGGAACGACGTGGCAGCAGGAGCAGGGCAGTGATCCTTCCCCTGTACTCAGCATTGGTGAGGCCACACCTGGAGTGCTGTGTCCGGTTCTGGGCCCCTCAGCTCAGGAAGGACATTGAGGTGCTGGAGCAGGTCCAGAGAAGAGCAACCAGGCTGGTGAAGGGACTGGAGCACAAGTCCTGTGAGGAGAAGCTGAGGGAGCTGGGGTTGTTTAGCCTGGAGAAGAGGAGGCGCAAGGGAGACCTCATCACTCTCTACAACTACCTGAGAGGAGGTTGTAGCCAGGAGAGGGTCGGTCTCTTTTCCCAGGCAGTTATCGGTAAGACAAGAGGGCACATTCTCAAGCTCTGCCAGAGCAGGTTTAGGTTGCATATTAGAAGAAATTCATTACAGAGAGGGTAATCAGGCACTGGAATGGGCTGTCCCGGGAGGTGGTGAATTCTCTGTCCCTGGAGGTGTTTAAGAAGAGACTGGATGTGGCACTGAGTGCCATGGTCCAGTAACTGTGGTAGTGGATCAAAGGTTGGACTTGATGATCTCAGAGGTCCTTTCCAACCCATCTGATTCTATGATTTGCTGACTAGACACTGTAGGAGACTTCATAAGTGTAAAGATGAATTTCTCTCATGTTATTTGGGAGGTTTCCCAGAGATAAGCTGAATTGATACTTTTGGCTGAAGCCACTTTGGGGGATCAATTTACACTGAAAGCATTTGTAGTTAATTGAACATAGTGCACATGATTCAGTTTGTTGTTTCTGAGTCATTTAAAAGTTGTTTTTCCACCCAGGCATCAGTAGTTCTGTGCCATGTCTCTTTCTTGACTTAAAAAACCAGTTTTACTCCAGTTTTCCTTGCCTTACCAAAAAACAGTCAGTTAAGTTAATTCTTGGTGTCCATAGCAGAATCAACCTTTCCCCTCATCTCAGGGGTTTTATCATATTTTCTTGAATAATCATTGCAGATTGTTTATATTTGTTTATTTTTAAGGAAGTCATGTGCCATGTGTGTGCTGTCTGCATTATTGAGATTTAATGGAAAACTGCTGTCATTATTAGCTCTTGGTCAGTGAGTGTTCAGTCACTTGGATCTTCCTGCAGTACAGTTTGAGAGAGAAACTTTGGCTGACCTGTGGTTCAGATTTTCTTAAACAGAGTGGATGAGTAAACCCAGAAAAAAAATCCAGTTGTAGCACATAGTGAATTCCATGTATTTTAAATGAGTTTTTATAACAAAACTATGTTCACTTTTCTCTTCCTGGGGCAGAGAAAGAAGAACGCTGGGCAATGTGTTAAATCTCCTTTCCATGCTGCTTTACTGCTTGAAGGAGTCAGAAACTGAAGGTCAGGGTAAAGAATCTTGACTAACACATTCTGCAAAACCTTAAATAAAAGATCTTAAAGCTTTTCTGCAGGCATTAAGCTTTGTAATTTATATGCTGCCATGTAGAAAGCAGTTATTTTTTTTATGTTGTAGGATATACTACTACTCCGCCAAAGATTGTGGCCATAGGCTGTCACAGCAATTTTGCTGCAGACTCCTTAGAAATGTTGATGTAGGGGAAGTTTTATACCTCGTTGTTCTCTTTGTTTTCATTAGTGTTGATTTTTCAGGCTTGTGAACTTATTTTGTCTAGTTGCATCCTGTATTTTTTTGATGTGTGCTTATTACACCCCTAATAAAATAAAAAAATTGGTAAGTATGTTTCATGATTACTTTGCTTTTAATAGAACATTTGCTCCAGTTTTAATGTAGTTCAGAAGGACAGTTCATAGTTGTTCGATGAAGCCCAATGTGTTGTCTCTTTTGAATATTGTATTTTTATGCATAATTTTGACTCTAATTTTTCCCCATTAATTCAGTGCTGAAAGGGAAGGTATGATGACTGATATTTCATATTAGTTTACAGACATTATACAAAAGTTGTTTGCTGTGTTCCTTTGAGTTTTGGATCACTGTTCTAGCTCTAAGACAAGTAATTAAAATTTTGTGTTCTGTCATTTCTTTGACCCAAATTAACCTTGTGAAGTTGATGCTTCCTTTTTTGCACCTGAAATTACAAAAAAAAAAAAAAAAAAAAAAAAAAACAAAAAAACAAAACAAAACAAAAAGTTGAAAACGTTTACCTGTGAAACACTCTTCATTTGAGGGGGATGAATGTATTTGTTGTGCCTGCAAGGTGCTATAAAGCTGATGCGTTTATTGATGTAAAAACATGCCGGGTTTGTTGAGGTTTTCTTTACTGTTCAAGCCATTATGTCAGAGTGACTGAAGTTCTTCTGACAACCACAAGGATAACTGTGATTTTATGTGTATATCTGCATTTAAGTTTGGGCAAATTTATCTTCATATTAAGAAAACTGAATGCTCAGATTACATGTGTGGGCTGTAACAATGCCAAATAAGATGAAATCCATGTTCAGCAATGGTAACTTGTCAGCAACCAAGTCTCCATTTCTAAGTGATTTTTAAGCAACATTTGTAAATTATTCCGTACAAATCTAATGTAAATAAACTGCATTTCTTATTTTGGTTCACTAAATTCTCAGTGTTAGGCATTTAATTCTAAAGAGCTGTTTTCTCCAAAAATCTTGGTGTATGGGACAGCATATCGTGGTTTCTTTCTTTGTGAAGTTGTCTCAGACTGACCATGTGGTAGCCTCGAAAATGTAACTTTCATATGTTTTGCTCATTAATAGTGTAATTAAGAATCCTTTTGACTAAAGGAAAGTCACCTGTGACTTACTCATTCTGATCCTGTCATGATGTACCAACAAATCAAAATCCTTTCTTTCTTCTCTTTTAATGCTGTGGAAGTGGAACCTGAACACTTAGTAATTTTTTAATTGTGTATGTTTGAATAACCTGGGTGTTTGCTGCCTGAAATGAGGACTGAATTTTGTGTACTGGTTTCTCAGGTTTTCAGATGAGATTTGTGTCCTTGTACTTAATCTTCCCTACTTCTTAGAGCAAGTTGATGGCACATGATACCATTTCCCAGAGTATTTAATGACATTCAGTGTATTTATTAGATATCATTTAAGTGGCTTCTTTGCCCTGTCACAATCTGTTGTATCTTGGAATACCTCTGACTCGTGATGGCTGGTGTATGATCAGCTTTTAAGCTGTTGGCTAATGAAGAAAAACCCAAAGACACTCCTACAGAGGAGAAACAAAAGCAATTCCAAATTTGAATCGTGAATAGTAACATGCAACGTTCCAGGTGGGTTTGTAATCCTGCTCTATCTGATACATGAGGCTTTTTGACTGATTCCTAAAATTGCAACTTGAGGAACCAGAACAGTGTAGGCACAACTTTAATGAAAGTTAGCCAAGAATATAGCTCAGAATTCCCAAAAGGAGCCCAAGGCAGCATGTTTATGCTGGGGAAGCATTTTTTCTATTTGTGTGACTTTGCACTCTATTTTCTTTCCCAGATAACAGATCCTGGGTGCCCTCCTGAGACCACAGAAAGGCCACTTATCAGAGAGGAGACAGGAGTGCCTGGGATCCTTCTTGATGGAACCAGGAAGAGTCTCTTCACACATGGCATGTACGTTGGCTTTATGTTAGGATAATAAGATGTGCCTTAGTGTTGAGTAGTGGCATTTTATTAATCTTTGCTAAGCAGTGAAGTTCTGTCAGTTCTTCTGAAGGGTCCTTTAGCAACACAATTCCAAATAAACATCCTTTAAACTATAGCTTGTCACTTCAGTGACCTCTCTCTGAGATCACAGGCCAGTAAGTACCACACAGAAGGACATCAAGGCAGGCTGTGTCACCTTCTGCTGTAAGGCTGATAATAACCTGGCCTTTCTTGAGGATAAACTGTGAAGTTTCTTCAAATTAGTTATAAAAGAAACTTGAATGCACAGGACTTCTATTGTTTATAGACCTGCTTGTTACTTAATATTGATTTGATTTAAGTTACTAAGGCAAACTTATTAAAGCAGAACATAGTTTTTAATATTGTAAAATTTATTTTTATTGGATAAAAGAAATCTGTTGTCCTCTGGGTTCCTTGGAAGGCAGTCTTGATGTGAAAGGAAATGAAAGCACAAACTGTATTTAAAATACAGTAAATATCCTGAAGTTTTCCCAGCAAAAGTAATGGAAGTTACTTGTGGGTGGGAATGTGTAATGATCTGCTCTGTCCAGAACTCTTCTCAGTTTTATTCAGTGGAGTGAAAGCTAACTGCAAAGGGAAGGGAGGAAGCTTTGTTTCCCTTAGCACACTGAAAATACTGCAGGGATGTAGTGACAGCATTGAGGTTTTAACCAGAAGAGAAGAGATGCTTGAAAGATGAACCTGGAAGCTGAATTTCAAACCTTTAATGGATATTAAAAATAATATTAGAAATAATGACCTGAATAAAAGTACAGCATAAAAGTAAAACATACTGGAGTTAGAATCTTGGAATTATGTCTTCAAGTTCATCCTTGGCTTTTCATAGTGATTTCTTTGCCTGTCCTGCAGGGTTTTAAAACCCTCCTGGTTTCTCCACTAGATAGTCTTGTGCTCTTCACTTCTTCCAGTCTGCCTTTTCTCTCAAATTGGGGCATTAATGGAACACAACAGAGCTCAAAGTAATTTTTGCAGATGCATGCTGAGCTAAATCCCGGAGCTCTCGGGCTGAAAGAACCCCAGTGGCAGCAGCAGAGAACAGCATGGCCAGCTCAGGCCCTTTAGTGGCTGCTGAATGGCAAACCACAGCCTCAGAAATACAACTTTTGGAATGATCTGGAGGGAATTGTAAACAAATTCCTACTTTGCCGGGGGTGGAAAACATTTCCATAAGGGGAGTAAACACAGCGAGCTTTCTGTGTACCAAACAGCTGCAAGTAATGAAGCGATTGGATCAGTTCCTTTGGAAACTCTGCTTGCTGTGGCTGGATCTCCAGAGATGTTACTGGCTGCATATATTTCAATTAATTCCTGCCACTGAAGAAAAAAGCCTTTGTTTTAGTAGGACCTGTACATCCTTCAGTGTAAAGGCTTAAATGTTAAAATACAACTTTTATAATTCACGTGCATGTGATGAATGTTTTCAGATCTGTGCAAATTGAATGTACTTGGTTCATCCAAGCAGGCACATCACAATAGGGACTTTTGCCCTATTGCAATTACAGAAGACTGATTTTCAGTATAAATTCTTAAAATTCAAATGTTATTGTGTAGGATTTTAGAAAGTAGAAAACTAGTCTGCTAACCAGGAAGATGTTCACCGCTCACTTTAATTTTTAATTATTTATATATGAACTCTTATTGCTCAGTAAACTTGGGACAGACTGGAGGGAGTAATATGAATCCCAGTACTGTGTGTGATTAGGAAGAATTCAGCCTGAAAGGAAAATATAAAAACCCTGAATTTTAGAGGTAAGTGGTGGCAGTGTAGGAAGTCAGGTGGAGCCTTAACTACACTGGACTGTTCCTGCATTCCCATTACTTTCCCTTGTACTCACATACACAGAGTTGTTTGTGCAACTACAACGAAAATGTAACTTGGTTCTATTTCCTCTGATGTACATGAACAGAGGAATAAAGAACAAAGGGGCTTGATTTTATCATGTTAAAAATGGGTAGAGTTCAATAATAGTCCTTAAGCTATTTTGAGCATAAAGTTGTCTAAACAGATTGTTCTAAAATTGCCATTACACTTGAATTAGAGCATCTTGCTAATCCAAGCACGCTTCTGACTAGGTGAGCTACTCAGTGGAGGGAAATGGGATTTCATCTGCACTCTCCCTAAAAGCAGGTGAGATGTGCACTCAGGAAGCAGGGCTCCCTGAGGGCTCTGGGAAGCACTTTCCTGTCCAGGACAGCTGTGCCTCTCAAAACTGTTGCTATGTTTGTGCTTTTCCACCAGGATAAAGCTGGCCCTTCCAGCACAGTTGATTCGTGGACACCATTATATCTGGGAAAGTTTATTCATTGCTAAAATTAAATAAGAACAAAAGAACTCTGCATGAAAGTGGACCCCTTGTCCTTACTTCAAACTATCACAGAGTGATTTAGCTACACTAGGAAACTGCTATTTAGCAATGGTATCTTGGAAGCTTTTAACATATTATTGCCTCTTAATTGCCATGTGTATTTGGCAATAATAAAAATATATCTGTTGTCACATAGTTTGTGAATTATAATAATGTATTCTTTATTTAATGTGCTTACAGAGTCCTTAAAATGTGTTGGTTCTTTCCATGAAAATAAAATATATTGTTTGATAGAGCTTACAATCCACTTGCACACTTATGAGAATTTCTTGGTCACATATCTTTTATGCAGGGTAACATAAATATACAGGGAACAGGGAGAGAGAACCAGGAAAAAAATGTTTTAAAGGTCAGTCTCTTGCTTATCCTTAATTAGAGCGGGTAAAATATATCCACCCTGAAATGATTCCCTGCAACAACAGGAAAAAAATCTCTTGCTTCTAGGTGATGCTAAAGCTGTTAGGAATTCTGAACAGACTCTCCAGAGAAAATACAAAGCAGCAAACAAAGTGTGTCATTGGATTGTCAAGATGCCTCATTGCAATAAAAGATCAATAAGAAGCAGCAGCAAATGGGAACTTTGCTGTGAGTGGAATATAGAACATGTACAGGCAAACTGCTTCTACTTTTAGCCTTTTAGTTAATGAGGGTTTGGTTAATGAGAGCAGACATCTCTATCAAGAAACATGAGATTCTGTGCAGCATCTGACCACGCTGTTATCAGTCACTTCACAGCATGAAGATTTGACCTGAGTGTAAACTGATATTCTTGAGTACAGTGTACACCAATTAGGCAAAGATCAATAATTGATGAAGTCCACTTGGTCCAAACTCGAGCAGTAGTCCCTGCCCATCAAGAAGAATGTGTATCATACATATCATGCCATATCTGGCTCTGGGAAGGTGAAAAGCACTTTCTGCACCTCACCTGTATTATCCATTTGGGTCTCTTGTCTGTCATTTCTCTGCTGGGAAGAACATGCAGAGAGCAGGAAACCTTTATGCTTGCTGGAAGTTGAGGGAAAACCAACAAATACACGGATATAAAAATTTAAAAATTGTCTTCTCAGCAGCAGACAGAACACTGTGATTGCAGAGGTCACATCACAGAGCCATTGATCAGGCTCTTCCACACAGGGCCCAGTGGAAACTCTGGAGGAAGTTACTGAAGCTGAAAACAGCTAAAAAAAAAGACAGATTCATCTGTTTAGGTTTCACAAGAGTGTCCTTTAAAATTCCAGTGGGTTCTGCATCAGATGCTTGTATTTATTCCCATGCTTGTATTATTCCCATCATCAGCAAGTTTTGTGTTGCAAATTGTGCATGACTAGAGAAGTTAAAAGGTAAAGGTTGACCAAAGGAAGTTCACAGAAGAATCCTTTTGTTCCACAGCAGTTGTGTGAATAAACAGGAATGTATCCATATCCAAGGAAAGGTTCTCCAGGCACCTGCTGACCTGGAACAAAGACTTGAAAAGCCCTTCTAGTGATTGGAAAGGGCTGTGCCTGCACCTACTGTTCAGGTGAAGCACACAAGGCATTCCTCTGT